CATGTGGAATCTTCCCGGACCGGGGCACGAACCCGTGTCCCCTGCATCGGCAGGCAAACTCTCAACCACTGCGCCACCAGGGAAGCCCACCACCTGTATTCTTGCAAAAAAAATTTAATCTGAAACTAGTGACAACAATCAGACAAATCTAATATTATAATGCAACTAATCTGGATTCTTAAAAAAAAAAAATTAAAAGGCCAATGTCATAAAAACAAAGAGAAACAAAAAAAAGAGCGAGGTGGTGGCACTGTTTGAGATTAAAGAAAGCTAACAATACAATAAATGATCCTTGGTCTCCAGATTAAGAAAAGCAACCAGCTTATAGGACATTATTAAGACATCTGGGGAAATCTGAAAATGGACTGTACATTAGATAGCATTTATTATATCAATGTTAAATTTCTTGAATGTGAAAATGATATTTTGTCTACATAGGAATGTACCCTTATTCTTAAGAAATATATCCAGGGCCTGTTAGGAATCGGGCTGCACAGCAGGAGGTGAGCGGCTGGCGAGCGAGGAAAGCTTCATATGCCACTCCCCATTGCTCCCCATCGCTTGCATTACTGCCTGAACCATCCCCCCTGCCCCCGCCTCCGATCCATGGAAATACCGTCTTCCGTGAAACTGGTCCCTGGTGCCAAAAAGGTTGGGGACTGCTGTCCTAAAGTATTTAGGGATGAAGTACCATGGTGTCTACAAATTACTTTAAAATTATTATGATTCAGGGAGAAAAATGAACACATATAAAACAATGTAATGCAAAAGCAAAATGTTAACAACTCATAAACACAGATGAAGGGTATAAAAGTGTTCATTATATATTACTCTATCAACTTTCCTGTAGGTTTGACATGTTTCAGGATAAAAATTGAGAAAAATTAATCTGGAACAGGGTTCAGTTAGATATTGCACTAAAACTAATGCTGGTGATAATTAAATTAGAGGAAAAAAACAAGCATGTAGTTGCTCAGGTGAGAGTTTTTTCTTTTTTTAAACAATTAAATCATTTAGTGGCACTAAGTGATATCCAGTAAAGCATAACATCCATAATCTCCTGTGCTCTCCTTACACACTGCTTATTTGAATGCTTTACAAGTACAGAGAAACCAAGACTGCATTAAAAGATGTCCTTACTTTATTAAATCAATATAAAAAGTGTATACCTGTGATTTGCCACATTAAATAACGTCTACTTGATCATAAATGCCACTGCATGTGGCTAGGCTAAATATTATTTTGCAAAATTTTGTTTCAGATACATGTATCCACATGTGCTCTAAGTTTCAATGAATAACATTTTTTATTATGGGTTGCAATAAAAAGTTTGAAACCTACAACTCAACAACAAAAAAACAAACCTGATTAAAAATGGGCAAAGGATTTGGATACACATTTCTACAAGATATGCAAGTGGCCAAAAAGCACATGAAAACGTGCTCAACATAACTAATCATTAAGAAAATGCAAATCAAACCCAGGAGATATCACCTCATACCTATTAGGGATGGCTACTATCAAAAAACCTGAAAATAACAAGTGTTGGAGAGGAGGTGGATAAATCGGAACACTTATGCACTGTTATTAGGAATGTAAAGTGATGTAGCTACTGTGGAAAAGATGGCAGTTCCTCAAAAAATTAAAAATAGAACTACCATGTGATCCAGCAATACCACTTCGGGGTATACACTCCAAATAACTGAAAGCAAGGTCTTGAAGAGACATACATAGACCCATGTTCACAGCAGCATTATTCATGACAGCCAAAATGTGGTATGTACATACATGGAATATTATTCATCCTTAAAAAGGGAGGAAATTCGGACATCTGTTGTACATGGATGAACCTTGAGGACACTATGCTAAGTGAAATAAGCCAGTCACAAAAAGAAACACTTATCATTTCATTTATACGAGGAACCTAGAGTAGCCCAATTCATAGAGACAGAAAGTAGAAGGGTGGTTGCCAGCAGGTGGGAGAAAGAGAGAACGAGGAGTTAGTGTTTAATGGGTACAGAGTTTCAGTTTTGCACAATGAAAAGAGTTTTAAAGATGGATGATAATAGTACAACAACAGGAACATACTTAACACCATGAAACTGTACACTTAAAAATAGTTAAGATGGTTAATTATATGTTATGTGTATTTTTACAAGTATAAACTTTTTTTAAAAGTTGAAACACTGTACTAGTATGTGTTAGTTTCATTCACTTTTTTAAAATTTACTTTTTTTCTGTTTGAAGAAAGAATACATATTCATCCAGAAAGCTAGAACACAGAAAAGTGTATTTCCTTCTTAAAAATATAGCTGATATTCTCACCAAACTGTTGCTGTCTTTCCTCCTACTCTTTTCAATTAATATATATTTAATTATAAAATTGGAATCATGGGCTTGATATGTAGCTGGGCAAACTTTTTTCACTTAACATGCCATGAAACATCTTTACAACAATAAAAAAAAACCCACCCAGAATCTTTTTTGTTGTTTGGAAATTATATACAAAATAAATCAATACTTACTTAGTCACTGATAATTCATTATTAAAAATGACTGAAAGAATCTCTTAGATAGAGCTTTGCATCAACTAAGATTAATTCTGGAAATTAAACCTCTAAGAGAACAATTACTGGGCCAAACGGATAAACATTTTTATGGAAACAAAATATACTGGGTATTGTGAATGGCTGACTCTCCAATATCCATTCTACCTTACTTTACTGAGCACAGTAATACAGTGTATACAACTGGCCACAGATCCAGGGATGGCTCCTGATTAAACCAAAGGTCAGCAAACTTTTCTATAGAGGGTCAGATAGTAAGCATTTTTCATTTGTGGGCCATTTGGTCTCTGTCCCAACTACTCAACTCTCCCACTGTAATGCAAATGCAGCCATAAACAATAAGGAAAAGAATGGCTGTAACTATGTTCCAATAAAACTTTATTTACAATAGGTGGTAGACCAGATTTGGCCCTGGGGCCTAATGTGTAGACTCTTGGTCTAAAATCCCTCATCTAAATCTTTGATCTAAAATCATTACAATCCCATCCCTTTGTACCACAGAGTGGTCTGGAACCCAGCTTTAAGCCAATCAATACAGGCATTTCTTTGGCAACAATTATTGGTTCTGGGTAGGCACATGGCCCCATAGGCCCAAAGGAATTGACAGGAAGAATCCTTATTAAATGGTTTGGGAAGAGGTATTATCTCTGCCACCAGTTATAGCTAAGGAAGCACATAGTTCAATTACTGTTGGCAGTTATCCTACACTCCAAGGGAAGTTAGGCTCAAGATAAAGCAAGCACTGTGGACCGTAGAACAAAGAGATGGAAAAAATCTAGGTATTTAAATATATTGTCAAACCATTCAGTCAATCTACTCTGAAGTCTGAAGCAAGCCAATACATTTCCTTATTTTTTAAGTCAACTTAAATTGAGTTTTCAGGACTTCCTTGGTGGTTAAGACTCTGCGCTTCCACTCTAGGGGGCATGGGTTTGATCCCTGGTAGGGTAACTAAGATCCCTCATGCCGCGCGGCACAGCATGGCAATCAATCAATCAATCAAGAGAACTTTCTGTTATCTATAGTCAAAACCATTCTGATAACTGAATACTATCAAATTGCCCCCAGAAAAGACTGCATGAATTTATACTTCTATAGTAGTGGACAAAAATATGTGCTTTAGCCCACTGTACTTTTATAGCCAAAAAAGTCTTAATTTATACTTTATCATTAGTTTCAATTTTATATAATATTTAAGAAATGTCAATAAATATTAAATATTCCAAACATTCAAATCTCACCTTCTTTTCAAGAAGAATTAGTTTAAACAGGATTAGGACCTGAAGAAAGAAAAAAAAAAAAAAACTGTATTAAAATAAGAAACTCAAGCCTATTTTTTATTTGCCTTTGCCTCTCCTCAAACATAACCATGTATCATTGAATCAATAATATTAAATAATTCTAGAGCTTTAAACACTACATTGAAAATTATGAACTTATACTGAGAAATTCCTGTGTCCTCTAAAAATGTGAATACCACTTAAATTGTTATCAAATTGCACTTTTTGGAATAAGTTGCGCCATTTTTGCTTGAAATATCTGCAAGCTCCTTAAAGTTAAGGTACTATTCATTTACTTCTGGATGTCCAGGGCATTCACAGAGCAGATACTCATTACAGCTGTTAAGTCAATGATCAATGTGTGTATGTCCCAGTCAACAGATGCCTTAAGAATAAAGATCAAAAGATATAAGCATAGATATTTTACTGGAAAATGTTTCACTCTCAGGGCAACATATAAAATATTCTGCAAGATAAAAACATGTTTCTTTCAGATGTGGTATACATATACAATGGAATACTACTCAGCCATAAAAAAAGAATGAAATAATGCCATTTGCAGCAACATGGATGGACCTAGAGATTATCATACTAAGTGAAGTAGGTCAGAAAGAGAAAGACAAACGCCATAGATATCACTTATATGTGGAATCTAAAATATGACATAAATGAACTTATCCATGAAAGACTCACATACATAGAGAAAAGACTTGTGGTTGCCACGTGTGTATGGGGGTGGCGTGTGGGGGAGGAGTGAATTGGGAGTCTGGGATTGGTAGATGCAAGCTATTATATAGAGAATGGATAAACAACAAGGTCCTATAGCACAGGGAATGATACTCAACATCCTGTGAAAAAAAGTTTTTTTCCACTCTGATTTCATGATATCCAAAATTACAAAAAACATAGAAAAAAGTATCCTATCCTGCACAGAAATAAATGACACTATTTGTATACTTTTAGAAATTTCTATCATATAAGCACTACCAACACTTTCAACTTTGTATCACTATGACAGCTGTCTCAGAAAAACTAAAACACGGTTATGCCACACTCTGCATTAGACCATGCAGCTCATGGAATCTGCCCAGTTAAATAATTTTAGTACATCATAAATTAAATAACATATCATACCTTGTGTCGAAAATGAAGCACAAGATCTCGAGGAGATAGACCTATAATGTTAAAAAAAAAAAAGCTAATCTGTGACTACCACCTACTGTTTTTGTCAAAGAAAGTTTTAACCTCCTCAAAAGAAACGCAGGTAAAAGTAGGAATATGCAAATATTTAAATATTTATGTAATATCTCATTATGCACATGCATAATCAGAATTTATCAAATACTGTTAACAAACAGCACTGCGATAGAACTTTGCAATAATGAAAATGTTCTAAATCTTCACTGTCCAATAGAGTAGCCATATGTTGTCACTGAGCACTTGAAATACGGCAAGTGTGACTGACAAACTGATTTTTAAATCTATATGTAAGCAGTCACGTCGCTAGTGGCTCGTGTTGTAGTCATGCAGCTCTAACACCTCCCCATTTTCCAGCCATCTTACAAATTACCCAAGTTTAGAAACTATGAAGCTTTTACTACTGTGGCAGTCAATCATTTAAACATGGTTTTTGGTCACTACACCCCATAGGCAACTATTTCTGAATCACAATCTTCTCTGATCATCTGCCATAAGACAAGATAAATTAATTTACAGAAAAACATATTCTCAGAATAGGAGCTTTGTAACCAGATTACATTACACACAGGATTGCAAAAGTGAAGTTCCAGGGTTTGGCTACATCATGCTAAAATGGGAATTGAGCAAGCGTAAATCACTATGTGATCAACAATTTTTTTAAAACATGAAAAGGACATTTATTGAGTGCCTAACACACGAATGAATGTTCTGGGTTGTCAAAGTAGCATAAAACCCTCAACTTGAAAAATCTTAGAATAGAAAAGAGCGAATAAGCAGATCTCTCTCTCTTGCTCTCCCTCTGTGTTGACAGGGAATTGACCTGGTCAGCATTAATGTAAGGAAAAAAAACTTCCATTATTACTCTGAAAAGCAGAAATTTTCCTTATACAGTAATAGTTGTAAATTTTGATACAAGTATGTTACAACCCTTCTTAATGTAAATACTAAGAAGATATTTAAGGAAGCAGCAGCATCAAATGTTGGAGAATTTAGATCCCATATAGAAACGTAATTCTTATCATGAAGTTTTACAACTCAGCATGCCAAACAAAAAGAAATGAGGCCATTTCCTCTGACTTGTAAAAAAGTGACTTACCAAGATATACCTGGGATCCTTCTAATGAAGTTCCTCCCAGGGAACTATTCATATGTTCATAGAGCTCCTATAAAATACAAATTCAGTTTAGAACACTTTACTATCATTTTAGACACTGAATCAGAAATAGGATGTCCAAGGGAAAATTGGTTCTTTAACTGAGGCAATTTTGTCTCTCTGAAACTTGCCAGTTTCCAGCAATCCTTCATTCTCTTCCTCTACATATTAGAGCTTGATTCATTCCCATGGTGGTACGGATTCCTAGGATAAATTTCCTCTACTTCCTTGCTAAATAACTAACTGTCCTACTCTCACTAGAATCCAGGAGAGATCCATGTTCTATACATCCATGGCAGCCTCAAGAAAAACATATTATCCATCTTCAGTAAAGTAGGAATGTGGTTTTTCTGTGTTTTTTTAGTATGGGAGTTAGGATCCAGAAATGTGATATATAAACATACTGCTCAGTGTATTAATAACATAACAAATGTAGAGAAGAAATGCCATAGCGAAAGGGCTATTATCCATTAACAGAAACATTTATGTTATAGTCAACTGTCAATCATTACATTCTAATAAAAGATGGTTTCATTAAGTTTAATAAGTATGAACTATACATTCTGGGATGATCATTGGCTCTTCAATATTATTTTCAAACAAGAATGTCCTTCTTAAGCTAATAAATGATCAGCTCACACTATTAAAATTCTACTTGATTCATGAATCTGCCTTCACACACATCTATGGGGGGCGACAAAGTTACCTTTAGAATGGAAATTTGGGAAAAATCCTTCTCTTCAAAATATGCATGTGTAATGAGCTGAAGTTTTGCTTGAAGTAAGCCATAGAGAGGCTTAAAGAAAAAGAAAAATTACCATTAGTTTGATAATAGTAAAATAAACAAACACCCCATGACTTTTTAACTTGAAAAGACGGAGAAGGAAAAAGTTACTGACAACTTTAGTATCTTATTATTCACAGCTGAACGTTAAGTCACTGTTCTAGCTCCTGGACTGCAGCTGCAAAGTACCTGACCCACTCAGAGCACCGGGGTTGAGAGTGAGCACAGACCTCCTGGGTCTTGCTCCAGTCACTCAGCCGCGTAACTCTGGGCACTTAACCTCTCCACGTCTGCTGACTGATGTGAACATGGGTATATGAAAAGACAGTACATCTTCTGGGGCTTTCTCATATTAACACAGGTAAAAGCACTTTCTAGAGTTATCTGGCATATAGAAAGCACATAATGCTAGCCATCATTATCATAAAATTTAAAACATATCGTAATCCTGCACACTGTTCTGCTAGCTTGTAGTAACGTTTAATCATCCTTATAGCACTAATTCTTATATTCAGTTGAACATTCATGATTAAATTTCATTTCCCCTTTTTTTGCCCTCTATAGAGGCTTAAAACAACTAGTCTGTGTCCTTTATAATATCCTATATAATATTCTTTTGTATATCTGAAAAAAGTTACTCCTTAATTCTTATTTCTCTATTTAAAACCTTCTCCCTACCATTTCCATCCTTTTATGTTCTGTTCTAGATGTTTTCTGGTTTCTGTGTCCTTTTTAGGATGCAGAGACTAATGCTGAATATATACTCTAATTAGTTAAAACAAGTAATACTGGAATAGTTTTCTCCCACAATATCCCGGTTAATATATCATTATTTCTATCTAAATATATTTTTATATATAGACTAAAATGCACTATGAACCACCAAACATTTTTGTGTGAGCTGGCTCTCACCTGCCTGTTTTATCTGTCTGATAAAACTGGCTTTTCACCCCAATTTTATCATATAGCAGTTACATGTTCATGAGAGTTAGACATTTTTTCTCTGAGATATATCTTTGTGAAACGAGAACAATAAATACTTAGATCTCTCTTCTTATGAGGATTAAAATGACAACTATATCTAAAAAGTGACTGGTATAGAATACTTGACATATAGGCACTTGATAAATGGCACTTATTATTATTATTACTGTTCTTTGAAGAATTATTCAGGAAGCCTTTCAACATGTTGTGTTTATTCAATATCCAGCACTCTTATACTTTGGTCATCTGGTCCAGCATTAAAAAACAATAATTCACTGATGTATATTTTTTCAGGCTACCCTTCTAGAAACTGTGTACAGGAATCAGATTAGCAATTTACCAATTTTCTGATATTGAAGTCTTTTATAACCATTCCTTTTCTAGGAGACTATTCTTGCCTTATATTTAAAATTACTTGGGACTTCCCTGGTGGCGCAGTGGTTAAGAATCCACCCCCTATGCAGGGGACATGGGTTCAAGCCCTGGTCTGGGAAGATCCCATATGCCACAGAGCAACTAATCCCACGCACACAACTACTGAGCCTGTGCTCTAGAGCCCGCAAGCCACAACTACTGAGCCCGCGCGCCTAGAGCCTGTGCTCTGCAACAAGAGAAGCCACTGCAATGAGAAGCCCATGCACCGCAAGGAAGAGCAGCCCCCGCTTGCTGCAAACTAGTCCGCGTGCAGCAACGAAAACCCAACACAGCCAAAAAACAAACAAACAAAAAATTACTATCTTGGAACAAATATCCTGATCCTCAAAATCTTATTAGTAAGGTCCATAGTACTAAATTATTCTCACTCAGGTTTTTTTTTTAAAGCCTAGTACTAAGCAAGCTACATTTAAATTGTCTGTGAATATAAGAAATTGGAAGAATTGCAGAAGAAATAATTAAATAAAACCATAGTTTTCTTGGTGACTAGGCTAATGAAATATTCTCAGTTTTGCATTAGGTTAACTGCAGACACATTTGTACTCAGTAATCTTATAGATCTAAGATAATTAATATGATAGATATCTAGATATTTTTTCCCACAAACAGAATTGGGGGACTATATTTTACATGCAGAACTAGGCATCTGGTGTTACTGGTAAAGGTGTTATTAACCCATTAATAATAAAAATGGGACATCACAAATGATTTAATAGAGACAGCTATGAAAAATAAGAAATGCTATATATTTTCTTTTGAAAACTAAAAAGTTAAAATGATTATAAACTTGCATCTGATCAACCTGTACAGGGAAGAAACAGTTTTAAAGTGTTGTTATCGTACAATTCATTATGTCCTTTCCTTTCCTCAAACATTTTCAGTTTTTAAAGAGCAAGCTAGGGATATAATTTTTCACTGCAAACAGCCATGCACTTTTGTATCATCAATAAAATCTGAGTAATTATGATACTTTGAATTTTAGTAAAATATTACTTATCCACAGTCTCGAGAGCAAAACAAAGCTGGATAAATGAAATATATCAGATGCCTCATTTTGCTCATGTATCAACCTCCTTCCCCACAACTGATCTATTAGATTTCCTCCCTCTTAACTAGTTTTGGGCAGAGGGGAAATGAGAGTGAACCTGCTGAAAGGCAAAGAGGAGATGCAAGAGCATCAACAATAAGCCTCTGACTAATTTTAATATATCACTGTTTTCATAAACCTCTCCTCATTCTAATAATGCTGTATCATCAAATAAAAAGCTGCCATGAGTGTTTAACAGTAACAGGTTATTTGGTCTCTTACCAGCTTGCTTAGAACACAGACACTTTTCTGAACGGTCTCTCTCGTGATATCTGCTTGCCGTACTTTCAATGCCTATTACAAACAGATAGTCATTATTAAAAATATTTCATGGACATATTTAAAAATATTTTTCAATATAAAACAGCAATCAGAAAAAGTATCTTACACTTAATTAAAAGCACTTATTGAGACTCTCAGAAGATATTTATTGAATGAATAAGTGTCAGCCAGAGCACTCTGCCAGAATCTGGCAGGCAATGGGAATATAACAGTGAGAGACAATCTCTACTCTCAAGGAATTTAGTCTGGTGGAGATTACTTTATGTGTAAATTGCCACATCCAAAATGCAAATCAGTCATCCCTGGTTCTGGTTTTAAAATCTCCCCTTTCGGAGATTAATGTTTCTGATGAGAAAGGGACAGTTTAACAGCTTGTTTCTCCAGAGATGGAAGAATTGTCAGCAGTTTTGTTAAGCTGGTTATTCTATGTTACTGGAGTCTGTCCTGGCACACCTGTATTGTATTGTAGCCCAGCCCTGAGCCGTAACTCAAGCCTCGGTGATTCTGAAGATGACTACATGAGATATCTGCAGTTCTCTGCTAGTAGGAAACAGGACTGATCAACGTCAGGTAAGGCTGTGAGGGCAGTAAGAACGACTCTTCCCCCTCTAGTGTACTGCCTGAGGTCTCCTTGGATCTGTCCTGAGGACCATGGGGTCTCAGTGTCTTCAACTGCCTGAGGCCTGATGATTCGTCATTAGATTACATCAAGAGTAAAGCCTTTCCTCTATCTGTTTCTACCTCTTTACCTTGACTGGATTCATCCATCGGGTCTCAGCTTTGTTCAAAAGGAAAGGAAAGGCTTTCTCCTAGGCTCTAAGGCTCTCTGATATCTGGTTTATCTGTCTGGTTATCAGATGAGGTGAGAACAACCTGGAGAAATGGGCAACCCCAATATACTCTGGAGTGGATCAGACTCAGGAGGTGTCGGAGACACGCAGTATGAAATGCCACTTAAAGGCTGTCTATGTAGAGCATGAGAACTGTTGTTAATGACAACAGCATCAGAGGAATAATTTTACTAGTGGTTATACAATTTACAGGGGATAAGAGGTAGTGAAAGGAACAGATTTCCAAGAAAGGGCAGCAGCTCAATTCATTTCATCTAATAAGATGTAAGGTACAAGAAGAAATCAAATGCGTAATTATTCGCAGGTTTCTTTATCTTTAAACTCAGTTATTCATTTGAACCACAAACATTTACTGGGTGTGTCCTATGTTCCAGGCCCTGTGCATGGAGGGTTATTTCACGGTAGTTAACTACTTTGGGTATGCTGGGATTTATTCGTGCAGTTTACTTTTAAATGCTTGAGGGAAACACACACACACACAGAGCAAATGTGGTAGAACATTAACAACTGTTGAATGTAGATGGTGGGTATACAGGTGTTTATTGTGCAATTCTTTTAATTTATCTGCGTGTTTGAAACATTCATTATAAATAAAAGCTGAAAGAAAAATTTTAAAGACTTACTAAGTTAATTACCCACCTGAGGAAGCTTTTAAAACTTTGTAATTGCCTAGGATCTACTACCAGAGATTCTACTTCAGTCTGTAGAAGGAAAGGCCCGGTAAGTATACTTAAATTAAAAAAAAAAAGTCTCTGGGGCTTCCCTGGCAGTCCAGTGGTTGGGACTCCGTGCTTCCACTGCAGGAGGCACAGGTTCGATCCCTGGTCAGGGAACTAAGATCCCGCATGCTGTGGCCAAAAAAAAAAAGTCGCTTGGCCAAAAAAAAGAGTCTCCATGTAGTTCTGGTTAAAAACCATTGTTTTAGAGCAGCGGTTCATAGTCTTTCCTACATATTAGAATCACCTGGGGAACTTTTAATACTCCTGACGCCCAGAACGTTAAATCAGAATCTCTGGGGTTGGGACCTAGTGATCCCAAGTATCTAAAACTCCCCAGGTGATTCCAACGCGAAGCAGAGGTTGAAAAGCGCTCAGTACTTCAGAGTATTAATCATTTCATAAGAGGAAAGAGATCTTTACTCAGAAAGGGTATCCCCACCACAAAAAGAACGGTGCTGCGCAGAAGCAAACCAGGAAAGGGGAAGCTACCCATCTTGGTTTATTTAAATTTATTAATTAGAGATATTATAGTAAGTTAGGCATTAAGCGGGAAGGTAAGTTTAAGAATGATCAAAATCTTAGTTATATATAATTAAGATAACTTGCAAGTAGTTTGCAGATACTATAAGTACTTTCCATTACTTCTAGAATGTTCCTTAAAAAAAAATACAACACTCATTACCATTCCATTTTTTAAAGTTACATACCAAACACTAGAAATAGAAAACTCAGGGACACCATGAAATTGACATACGGTATTTTGAAGACAAATGGATAATTTTGGTATCAATATCTAAAAACAATGTACAAAATTTTATACAATACAAATATAGTCGCCAATGTCAACTTAGAAAAACATTCATATGAATTAAACTGGTACTATAGAGAAAACAGCTACATGGTTTATAAAAATTTAAAACAATATCACAGGTACCACATGAAACATAAAGTATGTATTTCCCCAAATTCTACATCTTAAGTGGCCAACAATTAAACAATTTTTTAGTGTTTTTTTGGTGTTATTCATTTTAACTGTACCTTGGCTTCAATTTGTCGATAGCAAGAGATACCATATACAGTGGCTCCATTTCCATTTCTGGGTGGCAAGTGAAAAAACACAGTATCTAGGAGATATACAGAAAAAGGTAAATACCAAAGTGGACTACCCATATTAATAATGAACTTTGACGTTAATATAATGCAGTCACTTAAACAAAAACGATGAAGTAACAAGGAACCCATGTCAGACTTATTTCTAGCATCACAACCACTGGTTTCTTAGAATTCCTCTCACTGCCTTCCAGTGTACACTCATCACAAAAAGCCCAAAAGGCTGAATCATAACAGGTCGAATTGAGACTACAATCACTTTTCTCAGAAAATACTTTATTATACAGGATTATTCCAGGTAAAAAGAAAGTAAAGAATCATACAGGGAATTCTCTGATGGTCCAGTGGTTAAGACTCTGCACTCTCACTGCTAAGGGCCTGGGTTCTACCCCTGGTCGGGAAACTAAGAGCCCATAAGCCGCGTGGCCAAAAATAAGAAAAAAGAAAAAAAAAAGTTTATCCTTAGGGACTTCCTTGGTGGTGCAGTAGTTAAGAAACTGCCTGCCAATGCAGGGGACATGGGTTCGAGCCCTGGTCCAGGAAGATCCCACATGCCGCGGAGCAACTAAGCCCGTGTGCCACAACTACTGAGCCTGCGCTCCAGAGCCGGCGAGCCATAACTACTGAGCCCATGTGCCACAACTACTGAGCCCATGTGCCACAACTACTGAAGCTCGCGCACCTAGAGGCTGTGCTCTGCAACAGGAGAAGCCACCGCAATGAGAAGCCCGCGCACCATAACGAAGAGTAGATCCCGCTCGCCGCAACTAGAGAAAGCCCGCACGCAGCAACGAAGACCCAATGCAGCCAAAAACAAACAAATAAATAAATAAATTTATATTAAAAAAGAAAAGAATCATACAAACCAAAGGCAACACATACATTTTGAATAGATCCAAGAAATTCTTGGGACAATTGGGGAAATTTGAACATAGATTAGATATGAGATGGTATTATGGAATGACTGTTAAATCTCTTAGCTGTGGTAAAAGAATTGAAAGTCATCCCGGGGAATGATCTTATTTTTACAAGATGCAGGCTCAAGTATTTAAAGTGTCATGATGTTTGCAACTGACTTTCAAATAGTATAGGCAAAACTGTACACATATATAAAGAAAGTTTGTGGAATATTCACTATTCTTCCAACTTTTCTGTATGTTTAAAAGCTTTCATGATAAAAAGGTTAAAAAAAGAAGACTTGTGAGGTTAAAAGTACAGCATTTTAGTTTTTATGTTAGGGACTTCCCTGGTGGTGCAGTGGTTAAGAATCCACCTGCCAATGCAGGGGAAACGTGTTCGAGTCCTTGTCTGGGAAAATCCCACATGCCGTGGAGCAACTAAAGCCGTGCGCTACGACTACTGAGCCTGCGCTCTAGAGCCTGTGCTCTGCAACAAGAGAAGCCAGGTCAATAAGAAGCTCATGCACCGCAACAAAGAGTAGCCCCCCCTCTCTGCAACTAGAGAAAGCCTCCGCACAACAACGAGGACCCAATGCAGCCAAAAATAAATAAATAAATAAAATTTTAAAATTAATTTTATGTTAAACTGCAGAGTAATATTTGCTTCATTTCATATAAAAATTAGTAAATATTAGAAAAACAAGTAGCCAAACCAAGTTTAATCTTGTGTCTTGGCAGAGCCTCTAATACCATGATAAAGTATAGTATATTTCTTCATTAAGCCATTCAAAGCACTCATCTATACGGTGATAGGAGACTCAGTACTGACTTCATAGCATTGTTTTCCTTGAGGGTGTTAACATGCTCCCCATGCATGCAAGCAAACTTTTAAGCAGAGCACTGATGGCAGTGCTCCAGAGGTGGAGAAGCAATCCCAGCTGTTTTCAGATGGGCACTGGAGGACGAAGCTAGAGCTCCAATCAATCTGCAGCTGGTGCAGGTAAAGCTCCTTAGTTTGTCTCTGAGAGGAGTATGAAGTTTAAATGCAGAAAGTGCTACCAGCAGCAGATGTCCTAATATGGCTAATCACTTACTTTGGCCAGAGCTCTTGGCAAAGGAGGGGCCAGTGTTCACCAACCATTACCAATATAAGCCTGGCACTTCTCTGCAGATCCTCTAGTATATGACTAACTAGTCATCTCCAAAGAAGCATTTAAATATTTTATGAATAGTTACAATAGGCCAAAGGTCTTTCATTACCAAAGTACTCAGACTTGTGGCAAATTTTTTAAAAAGCCACCTACTGATTGCTCCACTGTCTGTTTACGTACCTTCTTGGTAGTTGTGTGCGCCATCTGGTAAGGCAAGGAAGGGCAAATACTTCCATTCTTCAGGTAGAATGTGACTGTCATGTCCATCTCCTGGAATCAGGGGCGGGTAAGAGAATTCAACCTAAAATGGTAAGGAATGTTAGCCAACAGGTTGATGATCAAAGGGAGCATTATATCCTGGCAGACAAAAATGCTTTCAAATTCTGAATGACAGAACTAAGGCTAAGCCACACTTCTTGATGCCATTTTCAGCAAACCTATGGTATAGAAGAGGAAAAAGAAAAAGGGAGGAAAGCCACGGAGCAACTAAGCCCGTGTGCCACAACTACTGAGCCCACATGCTGCAACTACTGAAGCCCACACGCCTAGAGCCCGTGCTCCGCAACAAGAGGAGCCACCACAATGAGAAGCCCATGCACCACAATGAAGAGTAGTCCCTGCTCGCTGCAACTAGAGAAAGCACATGAGCAGCAATGAAGACCCAACACAGCCATAAAGCCATTCAAAGCACTCATCTATACGGTGATAGGAGACTCAGTACTGACTTCATAGCATTGTTTTCCTTGAGGGTGTTAACATGCTCCCCATGCATGCAAGCAAACTTTTAAGCAGAGCACTGATGGCAGTGCTCCAGAGGTGGAGAAGCAATCCCAGCTGTTTTCAGATGGGCACTGGAGGACGAAGCTAGAGCTCCAATCAATCTGCAGCTGGTGCAGGTAAAGCTCCTTAGTTTGTCTCTGAGAGGAGTATGAAGTTTAAATGCAGAAAGTGCTACCAGCAGCAGATGTCCTAATATGGCTAATCACTTACTTTGGCCAGAGCTCTTGGCAAAGGAGGGGCCAGTGTTCACCAACCATTACCAATATAAGCCTGGCACTTCTCTGCAGATCCTCTAGTATATGACTAACTAGTCATCTCCAAAGAAGCATTTAAATATTTTATGAATAGTTACAATAGGCCAAAGGTCTTTCATTACCAAAGTACTCAGACTTGTGGCAAATTTTTTAAAAAGCCACCTACTGATTGCTCCACTGTCTGTTTACGTACCTTCTTGGTAGTTGTGTGCGCCATCTGGTAAGGCAAGGAAGGGCAAATACTTCCATTCTTCAGGTAGAATGTGACTGTCATGTCCATCTCCTGGAATCAGGGGCGGGTAAGAGAATTCAACCTAAAATGGTAAGGAATGTTAGCCAACAGGTTGATGATCAAAGGGAGCATTATATCCTGGCAGACAAAAATGCTTTCAAATTCTGAATGACAGAACTAAGGCTAAGCCACACTTCTTGATGCCATTTTCAGCAAACCTATGGTATAGAAGAGGAAAAAGAAAAAGGGAGGAAAGCCACGGAGCAACTAAGCCCGTGTGCCACAACTACTGAGCCCGCATGCTGCAACTACTGAAGCCCACACGCCTAGAGCCCGTGCTCCGCAACAAGAGGAGCCACCACAATGAGAAGCCCATGCACCACAATGAAGAGTAGTCCCTGCTCGCTGCAACTAGAGAAAGCACATGAGCAGCAATGAAGACCCAACACAGCCATAAATAAATAAATAGATACATAAAGTTTCAGAAAAAATCCCTAAAAAAAAGAAAGAAAAAAATGAGGAAAAAAACAATTTGTAAGCCTTTTCCCCCTTTTTTATTTAAAGCAGTTTAACTTTGATATGCACAAGGGTAGGGGGTAGTGGTGGTGGTGACTGGATTGGAGATGTACATTTGGGAGCTGTTATCAAATAGACGGTAACTAAAGACATGGAGCCCTGAGAAAAACCAATATCCTCCTGAACTGAGTAGGAGAGATCCAACAAAGGAGCCTAAGAAGTTGGGCCAAGTTCTAGATTTGCTTCCCATCAATTGGCTCCCTTGCTCCCAATACTTTAAGCTTTGAGTCTATGGTTTCGATGGGTTGTTAGGGAGGTGAATGGGCATTAACCACCACTTCAGGTTATTTTTTTCCCAAGACTGAGAACTGATCAATGAAGTCTCTCTAATACTGTATGTCTTGTAGAAATAACAAAGTTTTTAGTATAAGCCCCCAGTTTCTGGCATTCCCTAGGTTTACTAACATTTTCCCTTTGCTTATGGGTTTTTTGTTGTTATTTCAATAAGACTTTTGGAGAGGAAGGCAGAATTAAATGCTAAGGACTTGGGTTATCATACTGATGTAAGTTCTAAGTGTCTTATGTTTAATTTTCTTTCAAAGTATATTTAAGCAGGAATTTGCATTGCATTACTAATAAATACACTGAAGTTGGAAAAACATAGGGATAAGAATCACTTTTAGATTCCATCTTTAATGTGGAAAGACATGATGGCTCATTTCCCCACATCTCAAGGTAATCAAGGTGCCACCAGTCACATGAGAGCCGATTATAAAAGGGCTTTAATAATGATTATTTTTAACAGGTGATCTAGTTCTATATTGAAAATGTTTAAATTTCCCTGAGCCCACCTCCAGAAGCAATCAACATTTCAGTTTGAAAGGATCAGTTACTTAACATGAATTAACTGAAGGCTGGCCATAAATAATCTCAAGCTACATTTCACATTTCTTTGTATCTTCTCTATCATACCAGTTTTATATCGGCAAATCTTAAAAGTGTAAGGGAAGGCAAGGTGTGCCATAGAGGGAAAGACATAAATTCAAAGCCGATGCTATGAAGCTGGTAGTTACAGAGCTAAAAAAAATTCCCAACTCAGAATTCTTACTTTAACAGGGAAAAAAAAAAAAGAAACAATTACTGTATTTTATGTAAACACTAAAGTCCAATATGTAACACATAAGAAGTATTGGTAATTATCACAAAATAATTTCTTTTGGAAAACCACTAATTTTTATGTATAGTATTTATTTTAAAAGCATTTAGTATGGAATAAACATGCTTCTAAATAAATATAAACATAATGGACTCAAATTCTCACAAATACTTCATGAAGCATGTTGCTCTTTAGGATCCAAAAAGTTTGCCAACTAAAACTTATCACTTGCAATCTGCCTCTACAAGGATTAGGTCACTAGCCACTGCAGTCACTGACCTTCAACACACCCTGAAAGGAGTTCAGGGCGGAGATCAGGAATGAGGCACTCTGTGCTCTGGGAAAAACTGGCAGAACAGGCCTTCAGATAGTTAGATCTTTTCAGAAGATTTGAGCCCAATTTCTTGCATCTTCTCATATCTAGAAAAGCACTAAAATCATTAACGGAGACATCTGCTCCTCGTGACTAGCAGCAACCCTCTGCCAAAATGTGTGCTTGATTGCACACATCCCCCTTCACCAACTCACACGTATACTGGGACTTCCATGGTGGTACAGCGGTTAAGAATTTGCCTTCAGGGCTTCCCTGGTGGCGCAGTGGTTTGGAATCTGCCTGCCAATGCAGGGGACACGGGTTCGAGCCCTGGTCCAGAAGGATCCCACATGCCGCAGAGCAACTAAGCCCGTGCGCCACAACTACTGAGCCTGCACTCTGGAGCCCGTGTGCCACAACTGCTGAGGCCTGTGCACCTAGAGCCCATACTCTGCAGGCAGAGAGGCCACCGCAATGAGAAGCCTGCTCACCGCAACTAGAGAAAGCCCGTGGGCAGCAACGAGGACCCAACGCAGCCAAAAGTAAAATAAATAAATAAAATAATAATAATAATAGATTTAGGATATTTCCTTAAAAAAAAAAAAAAGAATCTACCTTCCAACGCAGGTGATGCAGGTTCGATCCCTGGTCGGGGAACTAAGATCCCACATGTCAAGAGGCAGCTTAGCCCGAGTGCCACAACTACTGAGCCCACACGCCACAACAAAGAGCCCGCACACCACAACGAAGACCCAGGGCAGCCATAAATAAATAAACAAACAAACAAAATCTCCATTAAAATAAAAAATCACAGGTATACTAACCTCTCCTGCTACTTCTTCAGAGCAGTTCCTCAGAGGTTTGAGAGGCTGTCTCCTGGGCTATATAGTCCTCATTTTGCCCCAAATAAAACTTAACTCACAACTCTCACGTTGTGTGTGTGTTTTTTGTATTCATTTGACAAGTTTAATCTAGAAAATTCCAAAATATAGTATGACAACGCTCAACCTCTTATTTAATATTTATTTATTTATTTTATTTATTTATTTTATTTATTTATTTTGGCTGCGCCAGGTCTTAGTTGCAGCAGGTGGGATCTTCATTGGGGCATGCGGACTTCTTAGTTGCAGCATGTGAACTCTTAGTTGTGGCATGCGTGTGGGATCTAGTTCCCCAATCAGGGCTCAAACCCAGGCCCCCTGCACTGGGAGCGCGGAGTCTTACCCACTGGACCACCAGGGAAGTCCCTCAATCTCTTATTTAAACATGGAAATGCAATTTGAAATAATAAAGTTTTTACTCATATACTGAAAAACATGAAAAAGATTATTCATATTTTGTGTTGACAAGAGTATGGGGCTTGGCTGTGGGACTGTAAATTGGTACAGCAGTTTGGATGACTATTTGGCAGTATTATCAAATCAACAATACATTGACTCAGAAATTTGTTTTAGGAATTTATCCCATGAATACAGATATTCACACAGATAAGTACAAAAATACAGAAACATGACTTATTGAAGCATAAAAATTGGAAACCTAAATATTCGTCAGAAGATTGGTCAAATAAATTTTACATCAGTTCTATCCAGCTGTAAAAAAGAATCACAGATTTATAATATATTGATAAAGCAAGATAGGTATGGTATACTATATAGTAGGTAAAATAAGAGCACTCCAGACATGTCCATCTCCTAATCCCTAGAATCTGTCAATGTCACCTTACAATGCAAAAGGACATAGCACATAAGATTATCTCCAGATGGGGATTATCCAGGTGGTCCCAATGTGATCACAAGGGTCCTTATAAGAGAGAGGCAGAAGAGACAGAGTCAGAGATATTTGAAGATGCTATGCTTCAAGATGCTTTGAAGATGGAGGAAGGGACCATGAGCTAAGGAATGCAGGCGACCTCTAGAAGCTGGAAAAGGCAAGAAAACTGATTCTCCCTTAGAGCATCCTGAAGAAACGCAGAGCTGCCAACACCTTGATTTTAGCCTAGTGAAACCCATTTCTGACTTCCAGAACGCTAATAAATTTGTGTTGTTTTAAGTGTGTTGTTTGTGGTAACAGAAGCAATAGAAAATTAATACATACTGTTAAACTTAAAAAGCAAGCAGGATATCAGTAAATATAGTATAATCCTACTTATACTGTGATTCCATTTATGCAAATGATTATACATCTTTGTAAATGGATTAAAAAACATGCTTGAAAAAACCTTTAATAGAGGTTTTATCTCTGGAGAGGTGAAAAGAGTTGGGGATTGGAGCTAAAGGAATATTCCTGTTAATTTTTTTCCATCTTTTTTTTATTTCAAACTTACAGAAAATTCGAAAGAATTCAAAAATCTTGTAACTTTCACCTATATTCACAAACTGCTAATTTTTTGGCCATATGTGCTTTATTTGTGTTGCACGTGTATACAAATACTTTCTAAACCATTTGACAGTAAGTTGAAGATATTATCATTTACTTTTAAGTAAATTGGTATTTATTTTTAAATGATTGCTTTTTAAAAATTAATTAATTAATTAATTAATTAACTTTTGCCTGTGCCGGGTCTTCGTTGTTGTGTGCAGGCTTTCTCTAGCTGTGGTTAGCGGAGGCTACTCTTCCTTGCTGTGCACGGGCTTCAGTAGTTGTGGTGGCTTAGTTGCTCCACAGCATGTAGGATCTTCCCAGACCAGGAATCGAACCTGTGTCCCCTGCATTGGCAGGTGGATTCTTAACCACTGTGCCACCAAGGAAGTCCCTAAATGATTGCTTAAATAAAAAAAATTTTTTTTGACGTGGACAATTTTTAAAGTTTTTATTGAATTTGTTACAATATTGCTTCTGTTTTATGTTTTGGTCTTTTGGCCACAAGGCACGTGGGATCTTAGCTCGGACCAGGGATGGAGCTAACCTGCACCCCCTGTGAAATCTTAACCGCTGGACTGCCAGAGAAGTCCCTAAATGACTGCTTTTAGAATAATAATTTTTAAAAAAGCAAATGATAACAACAAGCAGTTCCTAACTTCTGAAGGAAGTATTTCCATCCTATCCTTTTGGAGGCAAAGGGACATGGAGAGATCTATTTCCTTTTCTGAAGATT